TATCAAAAAAAAATTTATTTAATTATATTAAAATTTAAAAAAAGTAGATCATAACAATATTTATGATAATTTTTCAGGCAAATTTGCCTGGAAAAGCTTACAGTTTAAGAGATAGATTTAGATTTCTTTATATGCTGATATAAGAATGAAAATCTGTTCTCATAATAAAGTAAATAAAGTAAACAGAATTGCCAAAGGAAAAAAAAAACAATAATTAAAATTATATATATAACTCTTGTTAATGTAGCAAGATTAGATATAATATTCATAATTGTATATACTAGTATTTAAACTAATATTTAATAAAATGTGCTTAGACCTCAAAAAGATCTCCTTAATATTTAAAAAATAGATCTTTTTAATTTATTTTTTTTTAAATTTGTAAAAAAAAATTATACATAACTACAAAACTTAATAAATTATAACAACTTAAAATATTTTATTATATAATATGTGTTTACTCTTAATTATAATTATTAAAAATTTACTCGATAAAACAAGATTTAAAAAGTGTAAGCTGCCCTTTTTTTAATTATTTTTTGCTATATTTGAGTGTCGCTAAAAGAAAACCCGACAACTAATATATGGGTAATTATTTTTGAATCCAGACTAAAATGTTATTACGTCATATATATAAATTATTACCCATATAGATCATATTTAAGTTGTCGGGTTTTCTTTTGGCGACACTCATTTGATAAACAGATCATGAATTAACTAGATACGTATATGAAACGTTTTACTACGTGGGTTGTAAATTAGCAAAATCTGCTACGTAGATCAAGTTAGGGTGAAATCCGCGTTTAACTGTTCAAAAGCGAATTTCACCTTCATGTGATCTTCATAGCGGATTTTACTAATTCACAGTGCGGGTTTCACCCTGCCGTATTATATTAATAAAATTTTAGTGTAACTAGCAAGATGCACATACTTTATACTACGTATATATGCGTATCAATATAATGCGTAACTATCAGAGTAGCTAATAAATAAAATATAGACAGAAAGATAGATTATATATTAGAATATTGACTCAATTTACATAACGATTAAGTACAGTCCAAATCTGATATTTACGAAAATCAACAACAATGAAGGATTTATCAACTACAGTATTACGCTTCAGATAAATTTTAATGTAATAAAACTTCTTTAATAAACAATTATATTAATGCTATTACATTTCTTCGAATTCTTCCTCTGGGTAATCACCTACTTTTACTTTATTTGGCCTAACAAATGCACCATACTTATCAGGACAAGAAAAATATCGTTCACCTTGAACAACGCCATCGTGTTTTCCGACTGGCTCATCATACTGTACGCCAACCCAATAACCCGGCTTAAATTTGGTTTCACCTTAAAATTTTAATAAAGCGTTGTTTAGTGAAGCACCAAGAATTATAAATATAAAAGCTTTTTCCTTTTTTTTTTTTTTTTTTTACTGACCAACATATTTGACAGTTCCTCGGCGCTTTAATCCCTCAGCATCACCAAAATCCACTTCACAACGATCTCCAACTTTAATATTTTTGGCCTCCTCTTCAAAAGTATATGAATCAGAGGTTGTAGAATTAGTGTCAGAGAACCGGCCAAGTTTATTACGTTGTTTAAAAGAAAGGACCGAATCTATAATTTATAAGCAGAAGAAGATTATTCGAGTGTCAAGTGAGAAAATGATGATTATGTGGGACAACTTTCCTGTGCGTTTCGCATATTCTTCCTCAGGCATTTCATATTTTTCCACAAGTGATAAGTCATTATATTGATTTCTCTGATTGCTAGGATTAGTATCAATAACCTTTATTGAACATATTTGTAAGAATTACGGTTATAGCGGCTGGCATATGAATTACTTATGGAATAAACCACCACAATTGAACAATGAATAAAAACCTTCAACGTCATAAAATTATCAACAGGAAAGGCACCTAACATGTAATTATCACCTTCGACAGAGGTGACCAGAGTATCACCATTATATAATTGTAATAACTGTGATTCAGCCGGTATTCCAGTGATAGGTTCGAGTTTTGCCTGAAAAAGAGAAGGTGAATATTTTCAACTTGCAAAATCATAAGATGCAAAAATGAAATAAACTATGAATATTACTTTCAAATTACCAATGCTGATACCTTTATCAAAACGTCTTTCTGAAGACGTATTCTCACTCTGTACAAAGATAGTCACTATAGACATTGTTAATTATCGTTAACAATGTCTATGGTGACTATTTGTACAGACAGTTACAGTTACCGTAGTGTAGTATCTTTAACCAATCATAATAAGGATTTTTCACCGTGATACGATACATGAATTGCTGCCGCAGGAATTATCATACTCATATGCCGATCTCAAAGTTTTGCTTAGTCATGACACATCAATATACAAAATATAAACAAACCAATACATGGAAACATTTATACTTCACTAGTGCTTTTTGTTGGTAGTTAGTTCTCTTGGTAAACCATTTTACCTTCACTATTATAAAGTTTATAATCCTTTTACGGAGAGCCGTTAATTTATTCTACACAGGAAGATCTTAAAAGTAAACAGCAAAGTTACTCATTTATAATGGCAGCCGAAAGTGCGTCATCCCGCCAATCATCTGATCCTAAACAAGACGGGCGATCTGCCCAGGATTCCGATAAAAAAGAAGAAGGAGGAAAACCCCCACATGACGAAGGGTAAAGTATTTGCAACATCTTTCTTTATAGCAAGCCTACTTTTATTTTATTTTTTCTACTCGTTTGCATTTTGCCTGTGGAATTGGGGTTCTCTTTCTATTTTATTCGCTTTTTGTTCCAGTAAAATGTGACATTGCACAGTTACAAGATCGTTATTACGAAGCTGAAGTTGGTATTGGTGTTAGAAAGTTGGGATGTTTGTTTGGCATATTGGTTTATGTGGGAGTTAAGCATAAGGGCAGATATTATTGGTTTAATAAGTCAGTTAGTCATCAAATCCCCATTAAATATTCATTAGCAAGCAAAAGAGAGAGAGAGAAAAGATAGACTTTGATAGAGGAATTAAGAAAAAATTTTCAGGCTAGGTTTACTATTTCTTTCTTTAGTATCTCAGTAAAATACAACTAATAGGTTTCTCTTTTTTCCCAAAACCCTTTCCACTTTATATATAATTTACTACTATATAAATCGAATACATCTATCTATCTACTGTATTCCTTTACCATAATCGTATCACTTTGTAGAAAGATGTTCATAGGAGGTCTTAATTGGGAAACAACAGATGGTAAGATATTTTAGTCACCCATAGCTTTCCTTAAATTACGTCCCTGTACTTGGTCTCTCTTCTCCCTCTCTCTCTATATAATGTACATAAGACTATTCAACGAATTAGTCGTTAGATTCATTTTGATCTCTTCCTGTACTTGTTAAAGAGGAAAAATATATTATTAAAGAATATATATTATAAAGAGAGAAAAGTTTTTAGCTATCTAAACCTTTTACTTGTTTATTTGTTTGAGGGGACTGGTCAATCTTAAGAAGTTATGCTGAGTTAATTTAAAGCACAGCTTGTTCGTTATTTCACCGATCCTCTTTTGTTAACTTTATGATTCTTTCGCCTGACGTTCTTAAACGCCTATATTATTTAGCTATAACTCGCACTTGTTATTTCTTCCCTCTTCTATTCACCAAAGTTATACATCCATCAGATAATTTACACATAAAATAATCTTTTTTATAATAGAGAGCCTTAAAACATACTTTTCACAATTCGGTGAAGTAACGGATTGCATAGTTATGAGAGATCCAAATACATCGAGGTCTCGTGGTTTTGGGTTTTTGACATTTGTAGATCCAAGCGTCGTCAATACCGTATTGGTTAAGGAACATCAGCTGGATGGTAAAATTGTAAGTGGTCAACTGAGATATTTAGATTTTATAGTTTGCAAATATATTTCCATCATATAAGGGACAACAGAGAGATATCGAGAGGTCCAAATGATTGATAGATGACAAAACTCGAATGGAACTTATAAATTGATGTGCATGATTGAATCATACTTCCGATTTTCCAATGTTATTGCACATTATATTTAGATTGATCCAAAGCGTGCTATTCCTCGCGAAGAACAAGAAAAAACCGAAAAAATCTTTGTAGGAGGCATCGCACCTGAAGTTACTGAGGAAGAGTTTAAGGAATATTTTTCGCAATTTGGTCATGTCATCGATGCTACTCTCATGGTTGATCGTGACACTGGCAGACCTCGTGGATTTGGTTTTATCACATTTGATTCTTCTGAACCTGTAGAAAAAGCGATGAACCGACAGGATTTGGAAATCCGTAATAAACAGGTAAAGTTTTATCTACTCTATAGGCTTCTCAAATATATACCTACTCACATATAACGACATATGTACTTAGATTGAAGTGAAACGTGCGATGCCTAAACACAAATCACAACGTGTACAAACACTGTACAGTCAGCAGAGTTATGGATCATCATCATCTGCGTCTGCAGGAATGATGACATCGCCGGCTAGTTCGGCTAATAGCAGGTACGATTTTATATAGTTTCTGGTGGTGACAAAAATGGAAACATTAAGTACGGAAAGTTATAACACTATTTAATATATTAGTTACGGTGGTTATGGTCAATATTCTAACTACGGTAGTTACGGAAGTAATTATCCTAGTGGATACCCTTATAGTGCAATGACTCATGCATATTATTCTTCAAGGTAATTATTTTTTAATGTCATTTTATTCGTTATAGTATTTTATACCACAGTTAACTAAAATATAATAATTGTATAGGTACGGAAATTATGGCAGTCAATACGGCAGTGGAGGTGGCGGTTATGGTGGATCTGGAAGTCGTGGTGGATCTTATGGCCAATGGTACGGACGTGATGGTTATGGATCTGGTCCATCTTCGACTGGAGGTGCTTCTGCATTAGGTGGTCCAAGTTCTAGCAGTCGTCTTGGGGGTGGATATCGCCATTCCCCCGGACGTGATGACGGTTACGGTCGAGATCATCACCATCATCATGGTTCTCCTATGTACGGCAGTCGAGGTGGTAACTCACGAAGCGGTCCTACACGTTCTTATTCGTCGATGAATGCAGGTGGTACTGGTGCGCTGTATAGCAGTCATAACGTTCGAGGACAACACAATTATCACCCTTATGCTCGGTGAAGATGTTCCAAGTAGTGATTGTGGTCGATTAAAAACTTATAAGTTTAGTCGAGTCGATAATCTTGACACGGCTAAGCCGGCTATTATCTTAAAAAAAATACAAAAAAAAAAAAAAATAAATCTGCCAATAATAAATTACAATTGGTGCTGTCTAAATGCATAGATCCGTGGAAATACATTCTATGCATTTAGACAGAATATGCAGTTAGAGGTATATTCATATTTGTGTGACACAAGAATTATTCAATAATATTTTAGCAAAATTCTTTTATCAGATTACATGAACAAGTTACACAATAAATAACAAATTAAAATTTATTTTTTATTAAATATATATTAATACAATAATTAATATTCATTTTAAAATCCTTTAGTATACTTCAAAAGGTCTAATTTATTAATACATCTTTATTTTATTGTAAATAAATTGATTGTCAAATAATAATAATCAATGTAATAGTGACGCTAAAATTGTTCCCGTATTCTTATAAATAAAAAAAAAAAACAAAATAAAATTGAATGGCCACAAATCCGGTAAAAAAATGGTAGTTGCAAATTTAACGTCTGAATTGAAATTGCAAATGATAAATCCAACTTATGTGAATAATAACTCCTGACACAAAACTAGTAAAGTATATATACATACTGATATATCGATCCATACGAATATGTATTAGGAATAAATCAACAAAAAAAAAAGTGTAGAATAATATATAAAAATGTCAAAGAACAAACTTTTGGTTTCTTAAATATTTGTGCCATTGTTTCCAGAAAGCTGTTCAATCAATAAATCAACTCTCTCTATCACCTATTATATGAAAGAACGATAAATATATTATAATATTAATTGCTTTAAAGTATTTGGAACATACCTGATGGATATTAGGCCGATCTTTCGGATCTACTGCTAACAAAAAGTTAATCAGATTTCTAAAGTCTTGAGAGTAGCTAAGAATAAAAAAAAGTTCATAATATTTTAAACGTGATTGTACTAAAAAAATAATAAGAGCAAAACAAAAATAATAAAACAAATTTCATACATATCGTCTTTAGTATTGGGAAACTTAAATTGATTATTAAGAACAGCTAATGCTATTGAACCTCCTTGTTCATTAATACTATTCTCAAAAGGTGATTTTCCGTAGGCCATGGCATAAAGCGTACACCCCAATGACTTGACAAAATAAAAAATCTGTTAGATAACAGCTAACACAATAAATATTTATCTATTTACTTACCCAAATGTCGACTTTTTCATCCAAGTCAATATTAGTTTTGACATCAAATAATTCTGGGGCACGATAAGAAATAGTAGACTTCTCTGCCGCTATTTCTTGTTGCATCAAAGCATTGCTTCTGTTACCAACCTTTATCCGTGCCCGGACTAAGGAGCCAAAATCCATTAGGACAGGAGTTTGCATGTCATCGGACAATAATATGTTACTGCATAAAATAATATCAAATGATTGACTAAAAGATTCCTCAAAGCGATATATACATATTATACGAAGAATACAAACCCAGGTTTGATGTCTCTATGCGCAAATGGTACAATATCCTCCTCTGCTTGAGGTTGCGTTGGCGCTACTTGGCTGCGTATATCATTATTTATAATATGTCCATTAGGGGGAGCATTTCCATTTGCATATTCCGTTTTATAAACGCTAGGGAGTTTGTGATTATGGAGTGCTCGAACAGCATGGCAAATTCCTCGAAATATTTTCAACATCTTTTCCTCTTCAAAATGCGTGCCTTGTAAGGAATTATTATTAATAGCGTCTTGAAGGTTTCCATTCTATTTATACAATAATAAATTAAAAATTTAAGATAAACATAAAGAGCTTTAGTTATTATTAAGTACCTCATATTTAACAAGCAAAAATATCAACGAACCTTATAATAAGGCAAAAATATATACACAATTTTGCTATTATCTCTATCTGGAACAACACATGAATCCTTATGTGAAAAGAAACGAACTATAATTAGTAACAGTTTAAGAAATTTGATGCATATGTAATGAATCAAAAAAAATTTAAGGATTCAGCATACAATAACTTTTATGATGTTCTCGTGCTGGAATAAACGATACATTTCAACCTCTTTCATTGCATCTTTCACGGAATCACCTCCAAATGGGCATCTAATTTGCTTAAGGGCGAATAATCGGCCAGTGCTGGCATCCTGCACCAGATAAACAAACGAAAATCCCCTGAAAAAAAGCAACATCAGGCAGGCGGTTAAATCTAACAAGCCATTCCAATAACGTAAAAAAAAAAGGGAAAAGAAAAGTACCCTTCACCAAGCAATTTGATCACCTTGAAAGTTCGACGATTTATGTACAACGTCGGATTTGGGAAACAACAGGAGGTAATAGAATATAGGGTATCCCGCACAGAGCTAAAAAAAGACATTTTTAACTAATTTTTGTAGCCGAAATAACCTTGCTTGTGTTTTTAAACGTTTTTTTATGTCAAAGGTTATATTTTGGCAGTCTTTCTTATTCTTTATATCGCTAAAACTCAAATGCGGATACCATTATTGATCGTCGAATCGAGGAGGTTATCAGAAAAATGGTATGTACTTTTTATGCTTGTTTGTGTCAGGGCCGACGCAATAAAAAAGCTGATTCGCTAGTTTTTAGCATTAGAATTTTGTTTTCACGTGCTTAAGCGTTAATCGTAACACTATCTAAAAGACCGGCTCTAAACTAGCTCTAAACTATATCGATATAGATATCCAAATATTTGGAGAATTTCCAAATTTTCATAAAGTTCTCGATTCTTGGTTAGCAATGTCGGAAGTTTGCGTGATAGTGGACAATTAACGAACATAATTGCGTAATTTTCGGAGGCGTTTACTAATTTACCCCAAGTCTCTATTGGTCATCAGTAAATCGTATTTTTGATTGGACGAAATCGACGATCCTTAATAACGTGATTTGGACATAGCCAATCAGAAAGCAAGATCAAAAACCATCTTTGCAAAATTTTTGGTACGATCAAAAAAGGAAATAGCATTATTGTTTTAGGCCGTTCTCAAGCGTCTCGCGTGCATCTATGTGCCCCTCAAAGATCAGCATCCAGCCAATCAACATCAATTATGTAGATACTATACGAACGATCAGTGTGTAACGTTAAAATTAAAACAAATCGTTTATTTAAAAGTCGTTTATATCTCGAAATTTTGCATATGAAACTAACTTTTGCGTTATAACAAAAAAAATTCCTTGCAAAATTTTGGTATATATTTTTGACCCTACCCCTACTTTTAATTAACGTTAATCAACAACAATGATCATCATCTTTGAGATGCACCCTCAATGTGTTTACCAAACGATCTGATTGGCTGAAAAAATAGATTGTGATTATCACTTAAAGTCAAAAAAACCTCCCAAGCTTCCGGAATTCGATCCGATGATTCAAATTCGGACATCGGACCTGCGAAGCACTAACAGCTAATACACAAACCAATATTATAGCAAATTATGATCCGAGCAACTTTACTTGTACCGGAAGCTCGGGTTACACGAAAATGCTAACCTACTATTAATTTCGTGATTGTACAAATAATTATTCCCGTAACCAAATTGATAATCAGGTAATTGGACTTAAAATTCTCGTCAACTTTATTAAAGTTCGTGGAAGTAAAAATATACATATTTCTTTATTCAATGATTGCTACATATTCAAAAAACTAACCAGCTATTTACAAAAAGTGTCTTCTGGATACGGTTTGACGGGCGGTCGTGGCAGGTGTTTTGTTTTTTGGCAAGAGTTTCGAAAATGTTACGCTATGGCGGACCGTCCTGAGGAATGCGCCTTACAGTTAGACGATTATTTTGAATGTCTGCATCACACCAAAGAGGTATTTAAAAGACCATCTTGTAAGCAACAATATTCAATTATCCGAAAGATATAATGAACCTTGATTATTAAATTAGAAAGCAAGAGCGAGAGCAATTAAAGCCGAGGAGATAAAACAAATTGAAAAGAAAAGACAAGAGGACGAAAAGGCACGCAAATCTACAAATTCAGCTGCAAAAAGCAATGTTACGCGTTTAGGAATTATAGATGATCAAAAGCCGTCTTCAACCTCTAATTAAACAAAAACTTTAATCGAGTTCGAAGCTCCAAACAGTACTTAGTATACAAGTGCTATGTGAAAAGAATATATTTATAATGGAAAAAACATATAATTCTAAATAATGTATAAAAAAAAATTTTTTTTTTCTGCGCTTCAACTTAGTACGTTGTCACTTAACGCATTGATTTTTTTAAATAAAACAACAGAACTATACAAGCTATAATGATTGTTGGTTTGCATAGTATTTTGCTTTTCCTTTAGAAGAAAGAATGCGGTAAGATTTGTAGATGCAAGAATGGATAGTAGGATGGATTTTATGTAAAACATCAGGAGTCAAACATTAATCCGATAATTTGTTCCCAGTTATCGTGATTTTTATCACATAAGCATTTCTTCACTTGCCTTCTCTATTAACATTTGTATTGCTTAAAGAATCTATAGAACAATGCGTAACATTCGTATTATCTGAAGTAGGGTTGCGACTTAAATTTACTAGTTTGGAACAAATTTTTTTAATATATATTAAATATATTTAAAACTTTTAAAAAATTGAAAAAAATCGGGTGGCCGGTCTATTTAGAAGTTTTAATGATATGAAAACCAGAAAATTAACTTTGCATGGCTTTAGGTAGAATCCCAAATAGTATTTCTGGGTTTCGTGTCAATGACAATTACATATTTAATAATTATAATTTTTATTTATTATACGTACCATAGTTTTGCTTATACATATCGATATATATATATCAAAAGCTTTAAATTCTAACTACAAAAAATTTAAATGATATATCGATATATATATTAAGAAATAATCTAATTGTCGCCGGCGGTGACAGTCACCGGATTGCAATTGAGCAACCAGATTGTATTACGGAATCAAAACAAACGCTAAAGTTAATTGTTGTTAGGGTCAGGGTGAGAGTTGAATTAGGGTTGAAATAGGATAGGTGGTATAGTAAAATTTTGCAAGGAATTTTTTTTATTAGAACATAAATGGTGGTTTCATAGGTAAAATCTTGAGCTAATTGCAACCCGGTACTGTCACCGCCGGCGACAAATAGATTCGCCCATATATTAAATAAGGTTAAATAATCGCATGTAATCGATTTAGCCCATCAATATTTTGTGGGTTCCGGGCTCATCTCATATAAGAATGATAATCTAAGTCTATTCAAGTTTAATGCAAAAGGAATTTGCTTAAGACGCGTATGAATTTGGTCCGAGTTCTCTTATAATTAGGATTGCTGCAGTGGTTACAGATAGAGATACTGAATAGTAGTAAAATTACCATTCTAACCAGCATCTTTAGCGATTAAACAATAGCATGGTAACTAGTTGAGCTAATTAGTCACTAAAAGGTTGATATGTTTTGCCAGCAAGAAAAATATTATGTTTTTTTACGGTATCTTTATCAGAGGAGCTCTTGTTAGCGAAAGCTTCGATTTGTACTGGACTAAATGTTATGGCGTCTCTCATATTCGATAAGATGGACTTTAATAAAGTTAAAAATGAAACATGAATCTTTACATATGATCAAGAAACTTTTATTTAACGTTAACGGGGATGACTGTTTTTATACATCATGATTCTCATTTATCAATTAACAATTTATGTACAGAGTTAATCGAAAATGGTGACCTATATAAAGGAGATTTTTACTAAATGTTTTTATTTTTCTAATGACTATTAAACACTTCTATTCGAATTTCGAGGGAAAATTGATTGAAGGTTTACTATTACAATTCGAATTTTATTTGAAATGTTAAAAACTTTAATTTTTATGCAATTTTTCACTTACTGCGCACATATTCGTACAACCATTAAACCTACTATAACTGCATCACTTTATCAATATATTCTGCTTAGTCGCTAAATCCTCTTAAATTCTTAATTTGAAAATAAAAATAAAGTTTTTAATGGTTTATAGCAGTGATTTAACAAATTTGATTTTTTGAATTTTACATTATTGACTGAGAATGGTATATATTTAGATTTTTTTGTTATTATCTCAAACGAAGTAGAAATTCTAATTTCCAAACCTATGTCATAATTCCAAAAAAGGTTTGGATCGCATCCCTATTCGGAGGATTGGGCATCTGCGTTCGTCGCAGAAGACGAGTTTCCATCTGTAGTACGTATTTCGGATACTGGAACTTCAGGTAGTACACTTATAACTTGCGTTAACATACTGATAGCGTTGTATATATGCCCTTGAGTATCCTGCAATATTCGTAGCCTTTCAACAAGTGCCTCCCGTGATGTTGTTTCTAGGAGACGGATTTGATCCTCTGACAAATGATTTAATGTATTAGTTCCCACATTTGAGGTACCGTTATCCCTTAAAGGTAGAAGAGGGAATAGGGGTATTAAACCAGGTGGAATATTCATAGGGAATTGTGAAACATAAGGTTGGTATCCTATCGTTGGTGGTTGAGCAGAATTTAATTGCCTAAATGATGCTGCAACATTTGGATCCCATGGCCATCTAGGCATCACGGATGGAGATTGTCTTGGCTCTGAATTAGTTGTTGTTTGAGCACTAGATGTTGTAGCAGATTCTTCCTATAAACAAAAAAATATATATATTGTAGTTAATCAAATAAGTAATACAAATCTTGCACGTTAAATAGTCTTAATTTTAACGTCGCAAAACTTAAACTGCTACATACAATCAATGACATTACCTCATTTAATGGCCGATCTCCTGGATTTATGACATTAGGTGTGTTAAGTTGTGTGTTATTTTGTGAATTTTGAGCTGTACTTGATGATGATTGTTGTGCATTTTGACTCGTCGTCGCATTTGCCTGCCCATCAACATTACGCTCATTCACATTAGCAAGGGGATTGGGTGGGATATGCCATTGTCCATGCATTCCGGGAGGTGGAAAAAATGTCATTGGAGGGAATCCTGGAATTGGATTTGTTAAGAATCCGGGTGGATTCGCAAAAGGAATTCCAGGCAACTGTGGCTGAGGCTGAGGAGGTTGTGGTCCATTATTGTGTTGAGGTGGGATGGGACGTGGTTGTGGTTGAGTGGGCGTAGGTTGCTCTTTGAATAATAAATAATAAGACGAAAAGAAAATGACGTTACGAAATATGAATAGCACTATTCAATAGCCAGTGATCGCTGAAGACCGAAAGATCTTTTATTCAGTGATATGCATATCATTTAATGAACTGGTTCAGTCTTAGTGATTATTAGCTATATTGCGGTCGAGGCTTGATTTAACGATGTCAGAAAATAATGAGATTGATTATTAAATGTAGCTGACATATATTTTTTCTCATAAAAACGGTTTGTTAAAGCAAGATAAACATTAATTAATGATCGTTAAATAATCGCTATATCAAGCCCTGACTATATATATTCAAGAGTAGTTTTGGCACTTACGTTCAGACAAAACAGGTCTACGACTAATGATAAACAAAAATTAATAACTATTACACGGTGAAACATATGAACTAAAAGTTACGTGAAAAGGATATATTTCACTTACCAAGTAGGACAACTCTGTTGTCTTTCCAGCCAACTACGCAAACAATGAAAATGAAAAATATGGCCACAGGGTAATTTTTTAGGAACATCTCCTGGTCCATTATTCCCTTGTCTAGTTTGAGGTCTGTCATTGATATCTTCCGCATTATTATTATTATTATTATTATTATTGTCATTAACTATAGGAGCAGCAATCATTTCCTCTCTACATATTATGCAAGCACGATCACTTAATCGCTCAAGTTCATCATTAGTTGCATTAGGATAACGTTCGTTCATATTCCTAGTGGCACGACGATATCGAATAAGATCACCACATTTTTGAAGGAAAGAGCGAAGCGTAACGTAGACGTCACGAATAATATGTAGAGGGATGCCGTAATTTACGAGAATTATTGCAAAAAAGATGAGATAGGTAATCAATTTGAAGAAATCTAAACAAATTTTCAAGATACTATTAATTATTGCAACATATTAAAAAGTGTATGAAGTGAATATATATTAATAAACCTTTACCGGTCACGAGTTCTAGATAAAAAACATAGATTGATTTATTCTCCCATGGATCTTCACGTCTCATATCAATAACATTCAAGACATATTTAAATAATGTGGATATAATCGTGGCACC